GATAGAGGATTCTCGGGATCGGATCTTTCTTGTGTCGATTGTCCACTGTTGGTTGGGTTTGTCTGCTCGCTGGGGGAGGGCTCTATTTTTATTTAGGTTGTTTTTCCTGTTTCTGTGTTTGTGTTTTTTGTGTTTGTCTAGTGTTTGTGTTTGAATTTTAGGTTTGGGTCGTTGGCCTCTGTGGGCCCGGGTGTCAAATTTATTACCATGTGAGGGTCTTGTCTTGTTGTTTTAGTTGTTTGTGTCGTTGTTTTATTACCATGTGGTGGTCCTGCCTAGTTGTTTAATTTTGTTGCGAGTTCTTTTCTTTCTAGCGGTTGCTAGCCAGGTTTCTAGGCGGTCTCCTGACCTGTCCTCTCACTTTTCAGCCATTGGCTGCTTGTATTCGCACTTTGTGCGCTTTTGATTTATAATAATATTTATCGTTTCAGAAAAAAAAATATTGTAATTATTCAAACTATAAATTATTGATAATATTCGAAAATTGCAACTAAACCCTTCTAATTTGTCTGATTTCCAAAAACGGCCCCTGCTCTCCAAATCAGATCCTCGCACGCTCGCTCTCCTTTTAGCGGCTGGAGTAGCGGCCACTTCCCTACTCACCGCCGCCTCTCCTCCATCCCCGGATCATCAGCACGAGCAGACGAGCAGCAACCCAGCCCAGCCAAACCCAACAATCGACCAAAATACGGAGACATATATCCAAACAGAGACCAATGTTTCAAATATAAACACACTGACACGCGCATCTACTTTAGTATTATTTATATCAATTATCAATTGAGGAATTGTGACTGATAGGTTCATTTTCTTCCGCATTTCAATATGAAAATCATTAAACGACCATATGGATTGTTGAAAGAGGTTAATTATCGCCTGTGATCGAGTGAGATGAAGAGTATAATACTAAAAGCATCTACCCATAACACAATATATGTTTCACAAATTTAGTAACAGTGAAATTTTGAAGAAAAATGTCTGAACCAAATGAGATGTGCAGAGGACTAAACCCACAAATAAAAAGATAATATTATCCCATAAATTATGAAGTCTGAATAAGATCTCGAGTTTAGGTTTTCACAGTCGACACATACAACATCATACAACCATTTGGCATTGCAGAGTAATAAGACATACACCTACTGATTTGCATAGTCATCATAAGTATATGAATACCTCAAAATAAATAAAGACCTAATTGCCAGTAATATCACGACCTTACAACTTTTTGTCGTTTTAACCAAACCTTTAGAATTTAGCAAGAATAGCCTAACATTGTCCTATGTTTGAAACCCGAACCCAAAATGAAACGACTGCCGCATTCTTGCCAGCGTGTCTGTTAGTTTTACCTATGTGGACTAATTTCGTGCTGACTGTTCTGACGTGGTAAAAACCATTAAAACCCGCTATAAGTACCTTAATTTTCCCCCAAATCAAACCCGACCCCCATTTCCTAAGATTCGATCGTCTTCTTCCCCAAACTTTCACAGCTTCATCACCCTAGCCCTAACCACAAATTTATTCTCAAAATTTAGTCGTACAAGTATCAACATCCATTGAACCCTAATTTTTTATCGTATTCTTCACGATTTCGCAGTTTCTTCAACAAAATTTTCGATCGTGTTCTTCCCCAAATTTTTGCCCTAATTTCACAGCTTCACGCTCTGAAAATGTCGTACTCGTCTCGTACAAGCCAAAATTCACAACATAATGAAGTGAATAAGCTTCACTCAGCTCCTTCAGCTCGAACGGCCTCCGCACCTGCAGAACCCAACGCCGGGGGTTGGCCCCGGCGTCAGGCCTCCGATGCTTAAGTGAGTGCTCAGCTCAAGAGAGAGAAAGTGTGTAGTAAAATGAATAGAGAATGAGAGGATGAGGTACCTTGGCCCCCTTTTATAGGGGGAGTGTACCTTTTGGGCCCAAGTTGGGCCTGACCCTTATCGTTGGGCTTAGATGTCTTAGTGGGCTTATCTTCCAATATGTATCCGCTTTATCCATTAAACTGGGTCCAGTATAATATCCTATATCATAACGCTTCATCCAATATCCCTGTTCAGAAGTAGTGCCGCCATAATAAAGAGGCCCATGTTTTGACCTCCATGACTAACGATGACACATGTGTCCATCTAGAAAAGTAATTCATTATTGTATTTTGTTATGCAATTTTTCAGCAATTTTGTTCAGCAAAAATATGTCTTTTATATGAAGGTTTTTCCTCTAATTGATATGCAGCAGTTAAATGATTGTGGATTCTTTTATTGAATTGATCCCTCACTGTATGAGTTCCAAAAGACATGCTTCATCAAATTGGAGGCTCATAAAGAGGCTTTAGAAGAAAATTTACGGGGCAATGTGGCCATGGAAAAACAGCACAATGACATGTCGGGTGTGAAAGAAGTAAGCTTGACTTGACTTGAGGAGCTTGAAAACAAAGTGACAGGGCTTGAGGTTGAAGGTCACAAGAATGCTGAAGTAATTTTGGTTCTTGAAAGACCTTAACTCAAGTGAAAAACCTTGAAAGGAAAATGTGTGTAGTGATGATTTGTTTGATTTTTGTTGCTATTGGTTCTTGTTGTGATTGTGTTTGGCAGAAATGGCCATCCATGAGATGAAGATGAACTGATGGTTTTGATTTTGTGAAGCTGATGTATTTTTCATAGGCCTTTTAGGGTGAATTGTGGATTATGTTTGGTTGATATATGTAATGGAATTGAAAAGCTTTTGCATCAATGAAATATTATTACAAGAACCATCTTATTTCTGTTATTGTGCATAGTGTTATGAGGGTTGATTCATCTTATGTTAGTTAAACGATCTTATTCTGTTATTGGAATCCTTTTAGGTAGTGCTAGTACACTCTTATTCTTGTCAGATCACAATTGACATGGCACAATATCATATGAAGACATTCTAAACCCCACATTAAAATAACATGAATTCCAAAGAACACTTCATTTCCACAAAAAACAAAACACATTCATTTCCGAAAGAACAACACACTTCATTTAAGTGATTGTCAATAACAACACACATAAATATCTCATAACACTTCCATATCCCACAAAACTCAAAAGCACATCCCAAGAACAGTTCAAACTACTGAGTCTCCACACAGAAAACCAACAAATCCCAAAAACAACAAAATCAGTTTAATTGTGTATTTTTTTTAGGATCAAATTATCAAATTGAGAAAAAATGCCTTCAACTAAGTATTTGAAGGTTCATTATTTGAACTTTTAGGATAAGATCTTAATTTTATTGTACATTTTTTATTTCTACTTTCTTCGACTTGAACTTTTGTAAAACTAAATAGTCTTACTATGATATGAATTAAAGGATAGAGTCTACCACATCAGTTCAACAATACTACATCTTAATTTCCAGTCTCACTCTCTTGAGTGCATATGAAGTCCTGTTCTTTTCCTACCTCTCCCAGCTGACCCACTATTTTGCCCTCTTCCTTTAGTAGTGGTTGACCCACTCCTCTGCCCTCACCCTCTAGCAGTGGTTGACCCACTCAACGGGACCGCATTTTGTGAGCTTTGACAACACGATTGTGAGCTTCGACAATAATGGGACCACAATGTTTTCAAAGAAAGAAAAAAATTTCTAGTCTGAAAAGTGAAAATTAGGTCGTGAAATTGGGGAGAACATACGGTCACAAGGCTTTCATACTGATTTTTACCACGTCAGAACAATCAGTAGGAAGGTAGACCACGTAGGTAACGCTAACGGACACGCTGGCAAAAATGAGAAGGCAGTTTCATTTTGGGTTCGAGTTGCAAACATAGGACAAAGTTAGGTTATTCTTGCTCAATTCCAAACGTTCGGTTAAAACGGTAAAAAGTTGTAAGGTCATGATTTTACCTACAATTAAGCCATAAATAAATAAATAAGTTGGAGATTTTTTTACAAGGATAATATCCCCATCGTCAACCGTAAAGTGGCTTTGTTCAAGACTAGCTTCGAGTTTCTTTCATCATATATCGAACTCGGCCTCTTAGAAAATGGCCGACAACAACCTTTAACCATTGAGAAAAAACGTTACATGAGATCTCAACAACACAGATAGCCGTGGCTGCAGGGGTGGTCGGTGAGATGCATCGAGGAAGTAAATGAGGAGAAAATCTTGACAATTAATCTCAGATTTGGGTCTTTGAAATAAGGTTTGGATCAACATGACCATTTTGCGGGCCGAGTCAGATCCGCCAAGCCTGAAAGTAGGTACCCTGAACCGGCCCGAATGTAGGTACGCGCCAGACAAGTTCGGCGGTTCTGGGCCTTTTCGCCGACCCGGTCGTTCGGGACCCGCCGATTTTAAAAAAAAATAAAAAAACATATAAAAATGAAAAATGAACGTCTAGCCCATCTCCAAGTCCAGAACCGGTGGGTTAAAAAATTAGACCCAGAACCAACCCGTTTGTAACAAGGGGTCGGTTCAATGACCCGTGCATACTGGCCGACCCTGGCCATATCTAGTTTGGATAAATTTAATTTTTGTCCTAAAATTCAACTCGAATTATTTATCAATTTATTATTATTAGTCAATCTCGGACAGAAACCACCCTACATATTTACATATTTCCGGTAAGCCAACAAAAAAACCAGGCATACAAAGAACATGACCTAACATTTTATTGTTCAACCGTACTGATATGTTATGCACCTGGTCTAATACTTACTGTACACCTCCCACATACATTCCATTAAAACATCATTTTACACACAAACCTGCATTATTTTTACTTAGATTCACTGATCTTTTTACTTGACCGCTAAACCCTTCTCCTCGTTCATCTTCACCGCCTCAGCGACTGCTGCCGCTACGCCGCCAGGCCGCACTGCCACATTCGGATCATTCCTCAACTCTGCAGCCGTAATACCCTCCGCATCTTCACGGGTAGCCACCTTGTCCGCCCCAAGTTTCTTCCTAGCCCCCTACCATACCAAATAATTATTACTCAACTCAGTCTATATCATGAAAACAAATCAAGAATTTGGAAAATATGTTAATTGGATAATTAATTAATGTGGAAAAAAAATTAATTACTGATAAGATCTCGGCGAGCTTCACTTTGCCTTGGTCCCCAATCAAACCGGTGTTGAAGGCAGCGGCCGACTGGGCCGTGGCGGCAAGCCCGCCAGGAGAGACCAAATTCGAACCCGTCGCTCGGCATTCTGCCGCCGTAATAGCGGCGGCATCACTCTGGTCGACCGGCTTATCTCCGGCTACTCGGGCAGCTGCCTCTAAGGCTTCTCCTATGGTTACCTTTGCCTTCGGCAAAGGTTTTGTCTCCACGTACTGCCCCACAACCTGTTGAAGAAAAAAAACCAATTTAGTGTGAAAAAACTTAATATAAACACAAAATTACATTTCTAGTCTAGTTGGTTTAGGGTCTAAGCAATTTTAGTAATAAGATTTCAACTTTTGGCTTGTGATGATGTGATTTAATATTTTGTTGCAATTTCAGTCATCAAATAATTTATTTATTTTAATTTCAGTCATCAAATAATTTATTTATTTTTTTTTACGACATGATCACGTTCACTCCATCACCACAAAATTTCAATCCATTGAAATTGCAAAAACAAATTAAATTAAATACTGAAATTGTAACAAAATTTTAAATTAAGTAAATAAAAATTTGGGAATTTGAAGTTTTGTTGGATTTTTAATCCAACAACGAGCAAAATATTAAATCATTGGTTGAAAAGACAAAATTGGAACTTTGAGACTAAAATAAGTCTCAAATTGTTATGACGTTAAACAACATGATTTAAAATACAATTTTGCCTAATATAAACTACACCTTCAACTAAACTAACATACAAGAAAAGAGAACCTGTCCAGCAACAGATTCAGTGACTATGCGAGTGCCCGAGAGATCGGTTTCGGAAACCGTCACGCCTTCCTTGGCGGCAAAATCGGAGGCTTCCCGGTGGCCGACGAGGCCGGCCCTCTCGTTGCGGGTGGCGGCAGCCTGCATGACGGAGGCGGGGCCGCCCTTATGGGTTTGTCCGAACATGGTGGTCTCGGCTGCCTGCATCATGGCGGCGTCGGCTGGGGCGATGGGTTTTCCGGCGAGCTTGCCGGAGACCTGGAAAACGTCGCCGTATTTGATGGGCTGTGGTTGTGGCTCATCCTGTTTCTTTGTTGGCTTTTCCTGACTCATGATGATGGTGATTCAAAGTTTTGTTTTAGCTGATAATTGTGTTTTGCTTTTGCGGTGGATTGAATGGTCGGAGCTTTATCTATATAAATCGGGAGTTGAGATGAGGAGCGAGATGAGGTGGCGGTGCGGCGGTAGGACAGCGTGGCCCCAATGCTTACACGTGTGGGTAATTTTTTTTTTTTTTT